GAGAGAGAGAGAGAGAGAGAGAGAGAGAGAGAGAGAGAGAGAGAGAGAGAGAGAGAGAGAGAGAGACCAGCGGCCACACTTCAAACTTGTCAATGCAAGACATGCTTTCAGTTTTTTCAACTTTTTTGTTTCTTAATTTTATATTTGCATAGTGGCTGACATAAGAGCAAACCAGCTAGCATAGGACAGGGATCGGATCAACGTATCTTTCTTTTCTCTCTCTGTGTGTTGACATCTCACTTTGCCGTTTAATTTCTTTCTACACACATGCCCCTCTTGCAACGGACCAGCATGAAAAATGGATCCCTCGTGCATCCAGCAACAACAACATGGTGGCCATCTTTCGGATTCTTTTCTATTTTTAACGTAGCTGCTGATGTCGCAGCACAGAAGCTAGAAACATCCATCCCTCATACGTCCATGCCCTGCTGCCATGTTGTCATGCATGCCAATGATCGCGTGCGGCAGGCTGCAAATCATGGCATATCGGTGGCCTTAAAACAAAAAGAAAAAACATCTGAATGATGTATTTATCGAGAAAATGGTTCTGACCTGAAGTCTGTTTGTGATTCCTTCCCCCCCCCACCCCCCCCGACAGATCTGCGTAACTGCGTTCTTGCGTGCCCTGGTTGAAGATCGAAGTGCACATCATCGACAGTCATCATCAGCCATTCGCATATGGCCCACACTGACATGGCAGCCAGTCGGTTGGAAATGTGGCACCTATTACAACATCATTTTTTTCATAAGACACCGGCAAACATGGATCCCCCATGCGTCTCTCTCTCCCCCAACCTTCGTACGCACCCGTCTGCTCACCTACTTGTCCACCCCCCAATCTGCTCATCCACCAACCCGTCCATCCACCCACCCATCCATCTAACCCCACTACATGCAACAAGCCTATCATCCGCCCACCCGCTGGTCCAACATCCACTCACCAGGCACAGGACTCAAAATGATTTGGTTCAATGATGATCTCTCTTTTTTTCTCCAGCAGGTCCATTCCCCCACCTGTCCATCAGCCGAACATGGAGACCTCCATCCAAATCAAGACTGCAAGGAGCTCAACTCAGCACGACGACGGCGACAAAAGACAGAGACAAAGATATATATATATATATATTTCTGTTTGTGACGATATATATATATATATATATATATAACTTCATCAACGTGGCGAGCCTTGCACGTGAGAGGCACAGTGGAGGTGGAGTTCAAAGAAGAATGAGAAATTTAATGGTTTCAATTTGCCCTTGTTTTTTCTTTTTGTTTTTATTTTTGCATGTTATCACTGTGCCCGTTTTTTGCTTTTATTCTTTGTTCCGCAAAGTGCGCTCTTTTAGTTTGTAGTGATGTGACAATATATATATATATATATATATATATATATATAGAGAGAGAGAGAGAGAGAGAGAGAGAGAGAGAGAGAGAAGCATCTGTTTTCTAATACGTATCAGTTTCTGTCCATTCTCTTTCTGTATGTGCCAAACTCCTTTTCCATCTCTGCCTCTCTCTCTCTCTCTCTCTCTCTCTCTCTCTCTCTCTCTCTCTCTCTCTCTCTCTCTCTCTCTCTCTCTCTCTCTCCCTCCCTGTGTGTGTGCTTGCTGCTCCCAAAGACACTTGGTATTCCCATAGCTTACAGCACATGGCCCATACGGTCTGCAAAATTTTAAATTTCCCACAATAAAAGATGTGTGGATGACAAGAAGACGCCATGTGCCCCAAGTGTAGCCGTTTCGGGAACACTTGTTCATGTAAAGCTGATGTAGCACAAGGATCTCTCTCTATTTTCCTTTTTCAAGTGGGTCATTTTTTGCAAGTCAGTAATGTAACTTCTTTGACAAGTTCCTCACGGGTACGGAGCCCAAGGCTACAGAAATGCAAGCAAAAAAGATGAAAGTAGACACTGAGCGGACATTCTGCTGTTTGGCCAAACGATGTTTTCTTTCTCTTATCCCATTGCCCCACTTCTTGGCATTCTTGTGCTTTTCTTTCTCTTAGTAAATAAATCTCTCTTTGTGTCGTCTTTATCCCTCTGTATTTCATTTTGCAATTCCGCAGGACACTTACACCATCCGCAACCTTCGAAGAATGCTTGTGGGCAATCAAGGAACATGCTTTTGTTGCCTCCCCGTACCCTGTCATTGTTACACTGGAAGATCATATGCCGCAATCTCTACATGGCAAAGCTGCAGAGGTGTGTGGACTCGCTGACACTTCTTCTTTTCCCCACACTCTTTTGATAACTTGATCAGACCATGTCAGCTTTGCAGAGAAGCTGTGCCAATGGTCTGTTGATTTGTCTGTCTGTTTCTGCAGTGGGTACTGGACACAGAATGACTCACGTCACCAAACGTTGGGGACTTCATGTCGACCATAGTCAGCTTAGCTCTATGATGTGATGCAGTTCAGACATAATCTTCACCGGTTAGCACCTGAAGAGAGAGAGAGAGAGAGAGAGAGAGAGAGAGAGAGAGAGAGAGAGAGAGAGAGAGAGAGAGAGAGAGAGAGAGAGTTCTTCATTTCCTATGCTGCCCTCCATATCGTCTGCCTTCTTCGACCAGATAAACAACGAGAGCAGAGAGGCTGGCGAATATTTCGGGGTCCTTCTTCCAGGTTCAGAGGCTGACATTTGTATCTTTTAGCGGTTGGTGGAGGTTGGGGGTGTTGGATGAGGGATTATTCTCAATTCATAACGTGGCACTGCCACGTGCGTGTTTGGGAAAGAGAGATGCATGCCACAGCACAGGGGGTGGATTCAGTCAGTCTGTGTGTGTGTGTGTTTGTGTGTGTGTGTGTGTTTGTGTGTGTGTTGTCAAGAAACCCCAAACTCTCTCTCTCATTCCATCTACAAGCCGTCACAAACCATATATAAAACAAAAGAAGTATAAACGGGGAATGCAATAGAAAATGCAAGGTTCCCCATGTTTGTGTGGTTGAGGGGGAAATGCCCACACACCCATCTGCAGCAGAAGCAGCACACTTGCACAGATATCTGAGATATGTATCTCTTCTCTATACTCTTAAAAACTGCAAAGGGCCCGACGTTACACTTCCCATCGGGCCCAGCGAAATTCAGTGCCGCGCTGCCGGTCCACAAAGGGTTCCGAGAGAGGCTCAGGGAAATAATATGTGGCGTGCTGGAGGGCAGGCCTTTCAATCTAAGTCAAAAAGGTAGAGGCAAGCACCAAGTGCCCACTCACTGTACAACTCCAGCCTGCTCCGCAAAATCGCATACCGGGCACAGACCCAAACATTTGGGCATACATGTTTGTGTGTGTATGTGTGTGTGTGTGTGTGTGTGTGTGTGTGTGTGTGTGTGTGTGTGTGTGTGGACACACACACACACACACACACACACACACACACACACACAGAGACACACGAGGATGTGGGCAGCTGCCGCCTAACCACAATCAATGTGGGCAACCTTGTATGTGCGATGCATAGTAAAAAAGGAGCAAGTGCCCCAAAGAGACCCCAGTTAAACAGAGTTCTAAATGGTTCTATTACAAATCATGTTGCTTGCTAAGGAGGTGAAATTCTTTAAGTGTTGGGCTGGTTCAACTTGAATCCACTCATCTGGGTGGAATAGGGGTTGTTGTGGTGGAAATTGAAAACACACGTCCCGGTCTTGCTAGCTCTCTGCTGTTGTGGACTGAGCAGCTATGATCGGACCTGTACTAGCAGGTCACACTTGGGGTAAGTTGGATGTGCATCATAAGGTCTTTGATCACCAGAAACTTTCAGATTTATCAAACATTCTTGGCCCAGACAAATGCAAGGGCTTCTTGTACTATGGTCGAATGAACTGTACCGCTTCGGCAATACGTCTGTCACCCAGAAATGTGAGTCTGCCTTGGGTCCGTTGTCTGTCTCGCTTGGTGCTATGATTCCGTACACGAGTGGGTATCTCGCGCAGATCCCCCCGTGCATCACCAGCGCAAGTGGCAAAATTTCTGGCCTCGACGCGAGATTCCCAGTCTCGACGTGAAATACCCGGTTTCGGTCTTGCGTACCGAGAATATTTTTAGAATCCTGGTCCTGATTTCGCTTGGTGGTCCACACGTTAATTTCAATGGTCCACTTTCTTGGTTCTCCAGTTAATGTCGAGGACGTGTCCCGTGCCCTGCGCAGATGTTCTGGTACTCTATGCGGCTGACCCTGGTGACCCACCTGGCTGATCACAGACGATCTCTGCGAACCCGTGAGTGCCACGTGGGTAATCCGAGCAGCCTAGCTGATCCGTGCGTGCCTGATCTGCGCGCGCTAAAAAAAAGGGGGAAAAAAAATGGTGATACCGTAGCGATTGCCACAACGATCCTGATGGGCCGCGCGGTGAGCTGCTCGATCTGCCTGGTTGGTTCCGCTAACTAAATGGTGATGATTATCTTCGTGGTGAGCACGCTGATCTGCTGGCTGATCCCTCTTTTGCTGATGGTGATCCTCTTTGCGTCAATCACGATGATCTGCGGGGTTTATGCCGCTGCTTCTGATGAAGATCGTCCTCACGTCAATCGGGATATTCTGCACGTTCGTCCTCATGATCAACGCGGTGTTCCGCGCACTGCTGCTGATGACACGTGCGCGGTCCATGCACTGCTTCTGATGATGTGTGCCGGTTCTGCACACTGGCACTGATGATGCGCCCAGGGATCCGCGCACTCGTGCTGATGAGGCGCTCTCACACTGATGATGCGCGGGGGGATCCGCGCACTCGCGCTGATGATGCATGCGGGATCCGTGCACTCGCGCTGATGATGCGGGCAGGGAACTGTGCACTCACACTGATGGTGTGCATGGGGATCCGTGCTCTTGTGTTGATGATGCGTGGGGGGATCCGTGCACTCACGCTGATGATGCACCCGGGGATCCGTGCACTCGCACTGATGATGCGTGCGGGGATCCGCACACTTGCGCCGATGATGCGCGAGATTATCCCGATCCTCTGCGCGCTGATCTGCGTGCTCCCGCTGACGCTGTCGTCCGCGTGATGATCAGCACGATCCGTACCCTTGATGTTGCTCCCAGTAACACAGATAGTCTTCGCGATAGAGCTCGCACTATTGCTGGTGACCTGCACGGTAAGGTCGTGCTTTGCGTAATGACGTTGATCTACGCGGTTTGATCGCGCTCTGGCTGATGAAGATGATCTGCTCGGTCTGATCATGCTCTGGCTGATGATGATGATCTGTGTGGTCTGACCGCATTCTGGCTGATAATGATGATCTGTGCGGTCTGATTGCGCTCCGCTGATGGTGATGATGTGCGCGGTAGGATCGCACTGTTGCTGATAATGATGATCTGTGCCGTCAGATCACACTCTTGTTGACAAAGACGATGTTATACATGGTAGGATCATGCTCTGTCCGGTGGTGATGATGTGTGTGATCTGCGTGATCCCGTTCCCGCTCACGGTGATAATGAGTGCAGTAGAGTCGCGCTGTGACCAGTTATGATGATCTGTGCGGCCTTCTTCGTGGCTGGTTTCCGTGGTGATCTGCCCAATTCCTCCGATGACCCATGCGGTGCTCTGTGCGCCAGTCCTCGATGGAGATCTGTGCACCGATCTGCGCGCCCTTGTTGATGCCGTTCTGCTCGCTGATCTGCTCGTGCTTCCCTATGGCAATATGCACATTTCTCTGCATGCGCTCGCTGATGACTGTGCTGTCTGTGCGGGGATCACGTCCCTTCAGTGTGCAACATGCCTCTTCATCCGTACGCCCGTGCGTGAAGTGACCGTTCCCATACACTCCGAGTGTGCTTGAGAGCTAGCACACGTCATGTGCCAGCATGTGCGCCAGTCCCCCTGTCGACGCTCCCGTCTGTCGATCATGTCCCTTCGGTGCACTACGTACCTGCTCGTCAGAGACGCAAGTACATGGAGTGTATGACTTCCGCCCTCAGACCGATCCTTGTGTGCTTGAAGGCTAGCACACTTTGTGTGCCAGCATGTGCCCGTGTCCCAAATGTCCCAAGAAAAAGCCCAGTTGGGCTTATGTAGCTTGCTGGGCCCAGCAGCACCAGCCTCCAGCGGTCCGGTACCACCAACAGTCGGGCGTGCTGTCGACAGAATCGGAGCGCCCTGGTACCGAAGCAATGGCCGGGCCTATACCTGAGCCTGTTTCCACCAGTGAACCGTCAAGTCGACGGCACGAGTCCCACTGCAGCGGCGTAGTACCACAGCAACCTCCTGAGCTGATTTATGTGCCTCATAACTCCAACCCCACCGACGCGGTGGCGGAAAATAACGCAGCTGTGCAGCCACTTAAGGCCTTTAGGCGACCTTTATAATTTTTAGGCCCTTACCTCAAACTTTTAGCGTAGGCCTGGCCATTGGTGTCTCCGTACTCTCGTCCTCTCGACACTTGTGGCTCGATCTCCAAAGTAACAAGGAAAACGCGTAAATACTAAATATGGAAATTCTCTCCTCATTTACAAGACTTGTGAACAATTTTCTGATTCACGCACTCGCGCCATTCAGGCATGTTTCGTGTTTTTCGCACGCGTCGCCGTCGGTATCTCTCTCTTACCTCCGTCCATCCCACATTAGATCCCCTTCCAAAATTCAGGATCTCGCGCTACCACTTGACGACTCGGCTCACTCCGTCCGAGTACTTGGCATAACCTGCGGGGTACTCTTTCTTCCGTAGCCTGGTTCGACAGCCAGCCACCGACTCTGCCCATCCGTCAGTCGTTCTTCAATCGTCGCCATATCCATTATTTTTGTTGAACTAGCAATCTTCCAGTTGTCCCCGAACCTTGTGAAAATTCGCTTCCCCTCGATTGTGTCTCGTCATAGCCCCATCTGAGCCTGGGCACCTTGCTTTTTTCTTCTGTCGTTAATTAACTCTCTCTCGTCGGCCCCGATCACAGGATTTATCATGGCTGAAGTGACTTGTGCGTCGAAATCTGGTCTCTGTAAAGGAAGTAAAGGGCGGTGATAGGCTTGAGCCGCCCGGCACTGTTAAGGCACACAGGGATGTGGGCAGCTGCCGCTTAACCACAATCAATGTGGGCAGCCTAGTACATGCTGGGCTTAGTAAAAGAGGAGCTGTTGCCCCAAAGAAACCCCAGCTAAACACAGTTCTAAACGGTTCTATTATGATTCATGTTGCTTGCTATAAGAGGTGAAATTCTTTAATTGCTGGGCTGGCTCAACTCGAATCTACTCGTCTGGGTTGAATAGGGGCTCAG